TCAACGGCCCAGGGGTCGAACCCCTGCCGTTTCATTGGAGATACCTCGATTAGAGGAGCTCAAACCACATCACTGGCGGTTGATTTCGACGAAGAACCATCATCTTGGTCGGCAACCTGGGGACCAGCACACCAGCATGGCAAGAGAAGTGTGAATAATTATTCAGGTGGAGCTGTGGGCAAACTGTGGCAAACAGTTATAGCATCTGTCGTCGAAACTGGAAATGAACAAATAAACTATTTTTCCGTCTCCTGGATCTGAACAGTTACATCCTGTTGTCACAAAGAGAATTTCGTCTTGCCCTTGTGCGGAACATGCTGGAAGGGGTCCACCTCGCCATCAACGGCCCAGGGGTCGAACCCCTGCCGTTTTATCGGAGATATCTCGATTATAGGAGGCCAAACCACATCACTGGTTGACTTCCTCTACTTCGCAATTGAGGTGTCATGTGTGCTTTTCGCGTGGAAAACGAAGAACCGTCCGGACAAAGTGCGTGAAGTGCGACGTCGGACACTGGATTTCCGGATGTTTCCAAGATTTCCATACGAAGCCAAAAGTCCATTAGACGACGCAGGTGGGAAGAGAGACAACTTATAAAGCTGGTGACCAAAAATCATATAAGTAGAAAAAGAATTTATAACTTAAAATTAGATTTTAAAAAGCCGGCCGCACGCGTGGACTGTGCGACGACATATGGCGTCATTCGTCCCCTTGACTTTATTTTCATGACGCCATATGGAGTCGCTCGGCTCTTAAAGGTTAAATATCTTAAAGTGGCCTTGGTGTTTGACTTGAGGCCCACATGTATATATCTACCTTCATCTGTGTTAGAACTATGTGTGGCAGTTGCCAATTGCTGATCATGGCAGTGTGATCTTCAAGGTTGTAATGCACAAAGAAGAAAAACAGTTGTGCAATTTATCACAAATTCTGAATTACTGAGGTTTCACTGTATTAGTTTTTAGCAGCATAAACTGGTTTGATGAAGAACACAAAATTACTAGGTCAGAGCAAGTCACATAAGTTGCAGTGATTGCAGAATCCAAGTCATATGAATGGAGACAAGTGGAACAATGTAAAATAAACTAGAAGACACTTCAGTAACAAGAACAGCAATATTTGAAATTCAAGATTATTGAGATTGAAACAGACAGTAGGAACAGAGATATTAGACATCTGTATAGAAGCAAGTAGAATTTAAGAAGTGTTACTAACCTACTAACTTGGTGAAAGGTGATGATACAGAGTTAGTTTCCATGGGTTGTGGTATGCAGTAACTTATTGGCCAGTGTGCAAGGAATACTTTAAAGAAAGCAGCATACATTTCTCTGTATGTATGTATTGTGATGCAACAGACTTGGGTTTGTGATGAATAATGATAAGCATTGTGTGATTTATCTTTGTCACAAACATAACATCTAAAGACAATTTGAGATTTAAGATTTTCATAATCTTTGCAATTTAGTTTGCAGACTTCCGGTTTATAACACTGTGTAGTCTCATCGGCAGTTATCAACATTTTGTAGGAACCTTCAGGTCATTTCTACCCTGAAGATGGAGGCTGGCTGATGTTGCAAGCCTATTAAATGTTTATTGCAATAATAGGAAGGCAGACAATTAGAAGTTAAAAGTTTATTTGTGATTTAACAAAAACATGTTACACATTTTATGGAAAATTGAAAAATACTAAACTTCTTATGATATTAAAATTTGTTATAAAATATGGATTGTAGATGTATGTGGGTAAACTGTATGCATGCAGGCTTTACCACCTTCTCTGTGACAAACTCTCCTGTTTTCTCTTGGTAGCTGCATGAAGTTTATTGTCGTGTGTGCAAGAAGAAAAATATACTTGCAGTGGACCAAGCAGAATTTCTCAGTTTATGCCAGCTTGTTGAGACAAGGGGTATCCTGAAAGTACAAGGACGAAAAGAAGCAAGACTGTCAAGAGTAAGTGTCTTCAATTTTCATTGTTACTTTAAATTAAAAAAGAAATAGACACAGATTCAATTAATATAGTTAATTTATATTCACAGTACAATTTTCACTGGAGTTCTGGACAATTATAAGATGTTTTTGAAATGTAGGTTTCCTCTGATGCATTCAGCAAGAGTTGGACATGATTCTGCTAAGCATTTCTAAAACAACTAAGTAGTATAATCTCTAAACATTCCAGTAAAACTATAAAATATCTCATGTCTGCTTTCTTTCACATTGGTTATTAGTTTTATTATATGGTGTTCAGTATGAATAATATTTATTTATTTATTTATTTCACCTCTATAGATCATTGTTACATGATATAGGACAAGTCAGTTACTCACAGAGATATTGGGTTTTCAGACTTTATCCATCATCCTGGTTTTTAAGATAACTAAGAAAAACACGACGTTTTGGAAACTGGATCTGTTTCCGTCCTCAGATGAGGGAAAAACACCTATTTTGTTGGGTCCCTTAGAAAGGGCCATCCTCCAGTTTCTGAAACGTGTTTTTCTTAGTTATCTTAAAAACCAGGACGATGGAGAAAGTCCGAAAACCCAATATCTCTGTGTGTTATACACCATCATCAAAATCCTATAGTAAGTCAGTTACTGTACATTGGCTGATTACAATAAGAGAATAAAGTTACAATACTTAAAATTGTTTACAGTAGATTACAATAGTTAAGATTTCATATAGTGTAAGGTGGAATCCATATTACGTCCCCTCGGCATGTTGGCTTCCATATGTCCTATTGTACCTGCACTGGTGATAATGCTTATGGAGAATTTGATGGAATGAGGATTGACAGGGGAAACTGAAGTACTCGGGGAAAACCTGTCCCAGCGCCACTTTGTCCATCACAAATCCCACTTCACTAGACTGCAGCGGTGGGAAGCCAGTGACTAACCACTTAAGCTATGGCACGGCCTTTGAGATAATATTGGTGAATTTGGTGATAGCACTGGTATAACATTTCACTGTAGACTCTACACTGCAACATCTCACTACATCTGTTCTCCCTTCCTGGTGCAGCTTCTTGGCATCTGCAATCTCTCCAGAGTAGCCCATTCAGGTATATCTCCGACTGTGTTATCTTGGTTGCTGGAAGAAAGAAAGGAAAACTGCGCAGTAGGGATTCCCAAAACCGATTATTCATGAATTATGTGATTATAATTGATTAGTGTTTGTCTCACATGAGAGAAACTCATCCACTTTATAAAAACAATGATCAAGTAGGTAAGTTTTCAAAGCGTTTTTGAACTTGTTATAGTACTGGTATTTCTTTAATATATTGTGGCAGATGATTTAGCAGTCAAAGTCCTACATTGTTAAAGTTGTTCTTGCATAGACTTGTATTACATGGGACGATGTGCAAGTCATCTTTTTTCCTTGTGTTGTATGAGTGTAATCCTGAGTTGGTTGTGAAATCATTCGAATTGGATTTTATGTGTATTAGAGTTTCGTATATGTACAAAGATGGTAGAGGTAATATATGTAATGATTTGAAAATTTGTTTACAACTAGTCGTTTTTGGGACCTGGGTCATAACTCTTACAGCTCTCTTCTGTAATATGGAGGTGTTTGCAAATTATTTTGGATTCAGTCATCTGTTGATTAAACAGGTATGTCTGCAGTGGGATGAAGAGGAAGTGTGTGCAGCTCTGAAGGACAAGCAGTTACTGGCATCCATATTGAATGATGCATCTTGTTTATCTTAAATCTGCACAACTTGCAGGAGACTGACACTTATACATGTAAACAGGTGCCATTGTCATGAGGTGAAACATGTATAAGGTGGTTACTTTCTAGTATTTGGCATTTGTTATAAGTTGTCACATAAATTATATCTGAAATGTTTAAATCATATTACATGAGAAGTGTGGTTTGACTGTCATTGAAATGTACTGAAACTTTTAAGAAAGAGTTTGATTATGTGTTGAACATATTGCATGTTTTATTTTCTTTTTCAAACAAGAAGTGTTACTGTATACTGGTGTTACAAGCCTCAGATCTTACAAGAAGTGTTACTGTTTGTACCAGGAGGGTTTGCATTTCCACTGAAGGAGTCAGAATGAGGTGGTGGTTCTGTCTTAGTAATGTTTGTGTTCCCACTACTGTAATCAGAATAAAACTACACTATAATATTAGCTCAGAACACTGATTTATTAATATCCACATAATACACAGTTTGTATACACAACTATTGACAGTTGGTAAATGGATTGGTGATATCAGTGAGATGGTTTTTTTTTTTATGTAAATAAATGTTGCATTGGATTAGCAAGGCTTAATGTAATTATCTGCACACATGGTTTTTCATCATTTTTAGTTAATAAGAAGAAAATTATTTTACACACTTCTGTTCTTGGCAAAGAGAAAGTTAACTGCAGACTTATGATTAGTATATGTTATTTTAAAGAGGCAATAAAGGGAGGATCATTTACCAGAAGGAATTCAATAAAACCCAGTAAATGACAGTAGTCAGGTACGTCATCCAAAAGTGAGCTTCTGGTGCGAGCAGTTGAAAGTAGACTGAAGAAAAAAGAGGAAAACATGCTAACAAACTTTTGTTCAATCTTGGGATTGATGTCAACTGATGAGAAATGGGGCCAGTGATGGCATGTGAGTCACAAGTAGCTTGCAACTGAGAGACAGTGGTAACAAAAGACTTATCCTTTTATAATTTATTGATATGGTATCATTAAGTTTTAATGTCAAGAGTTAACCAATTCATATTATCTCTTGAATATGTGCACAATATTCATTTTTGTACTTGTATTAATTTTGGATGCATGCTGGAGAGATTTGTGTAAGTGTGCCTGTTATACCTCTGTGAGTTCTTCTGTTTGTAACACCCACAATTGTATAGGGGAGAATTTTGTTTATAATTCTGATGGGAAGAGACGCTTTTGTTATGAGGATGTATGTATTAAATTTGCCCAAGGCTTAATAGTAGTCTGTAAATCTGTAATGAGTGGCATACCATGGCTGACAAGTGGAAAATACATGTTCATGTTTTGTGTTGTATTCATTACTACTGGGAATGTGGAAATTATGAACTACAAATGTGGTCAGTTTGTTTCAAGTTCAGGCATTGAGATTATACATACTGCATGAATATTTATCCACACATGGGTTGAACCCCTCTTGTACAACTGAAAGTTTGCTGTTTTTAATTAAAAAAAAAAAAAGAAATTTGAGTTAGAAATTACAATTTTTCTTCAAACCATTTGTTTTTATCATTCACAGTACTGTATGGCTCAGGTACCCATGTCACTCAGTTCTCAGGAAGCTTCTATTTTGCTCTGTGAATCTTTCCCAGTTGCAACCATGTCTGACATATGCAGTAATGAGAATAGAAAGTATGTGGCGAATATGAGTGAACAGAATGAGTTTTGTAATAAAATCTTTGGGGCAGGGGCCTTCTTGAGATGCAGTTATCATTTCAGCTGGTCAGAACACAGATTCTAAGCCCAAGGGTCCATAACATTTTGTAACTGAACCTGCCAATTTTAATGGCGAAAGTTATTAACCACATACCTAACACACATTGTGGGGTCCACTCTTTATAGGCTGTGTACAACTGTCTATTTTACATGTTTGTTGCTACCCTCTATATGTGGATATTGTCTCCTCCATCCAAAACCTGCGGACATGCCATACTGTGGTAACAGACAGATTTCATGTGGACAGCTTCACATCTTTTAAACTAAATGGTTGAATATCCTAATGGGTGTGGGAACACTTTGTAACGAAAATCACTACAAAATTGCAAAATCAGATATTAATGCATAACTCTACTGGATATGTTGAAGGTAAAACAAACTCCATGGTTTTAGTCTGCAAGTGAACTACACAGTATGTCCAGGTTCTGTTAGGACTGTGTTCATTAAAAATACAAGACATGAATTATTTTCAATTTCACTCTTTTTATTCAAAATAGTCTCCTTCTGAATCAGTACATAGCTGGAATCGATTGAAAAGTTTTCAAAAACAGTCACTGTACTCCTTTTGTGGAATCGCATTTAAAACTGCGGTAGATTCCCTTTGGATGTCCTGGATTGTGTTGTGACGGTCTCCTTTCATCGCCAACTTAACTTTTGGGAACAACCAGAAATCTGCTGGAGCCAAATCTGGCAAATACAAAGGATGATCAAGGACTGTGATCAGTTTTCTGGCCAAAAAATTGCACACAATCTTCAATTTGTGGGGTGGAGCATTGTGGAGGAGCCACAAGGAACCTTACTCTTGATATTCAGGTCAAATTCAAAGAATCCTCGCCCACAAACGATTGAGGACTCTATGATAATAATCATAGTGTCATAGTATGTGTGTGTGTCACACACACACACATACCCAGCAGACCCAACAGCATAACGCACGCAGTCGCGAGAACAAGACGCAACAGAAACACAATACACACGATAGGGAAGAAGAGCTCCAACAGAGTAGGATGAGCATGACTGGCGTAATAAGATACGACGTAGCGATCGGGAATCCTGAACAGTTTTAATATTTTTACGATTGACATTTGTCAATATATATGATGGACATATATTTTAGTTATTTTAAAGTGAAGACAAGGCATACAATGTACTAGTTTGACGTGAATTGAGTAGCACCTGAAGATGGCATTTTTATGCCGAAACATGTAGTGAGAGTGAGAGAAGAAGATAGATAAGTGTACGCACTGCAAGACGGATTAAACAAATCATGAACTTAAATCAGTGCAACAGGACGCTAAAATATAACAAAGTTTTAACAGTGTCACTGATATATGCACTGTGTAGATTGCTACAACTTCATCACACATAAAGTCTTCTCTTTGATCTTTAGTCATTCCTAAGTAGCAGCTGCTAACAGTGCAACTAAAGACTGACTCATATGTCTGCATGTCTAGTAAATTGCTTCTGGCCCTCTCGAGAAGTCATTCTTGGTTATGGGATCCATGACCATATTTTTGTTCTTTCCAGCACTTATACGTGTTTTGAAATGGGTCCTCCTCTTCAGCAAGCGGAGTCTGACTGCTGCTGGTCACTCACTCACTAACTGGCCATCTCCTCCAGAGTCAAGAGTTACTCTACAATTGGTGGTTTACTGCCCATCAGTTTGTCTTGGCACCAAGCCCCTTGAGGCTTGCAACCCCGCATTCTTTTTTTAACTGAACCCTAGCAGTCATTGTTCTTATGTAACATTCTCTCTGATGAGAGGATGAGTGTGAGTATGAGGAGTGAGCCATAAAACTGGCCCTATCACTGCGACCTTCAGTGGTCTATTGTGCTTTAATGAGAGAATGAGTTTTCCTCTTATATATGTGCTTGACCTTGTCAAATGTATGTATCACACATATAGCATTTTATTGAAAATTCTTGCTTTTGCTCCATATGCAAGTCCTCTGTCAATCCAGGCTTTGCAGAGCAGATCATGCTTATTGTACGAGTACTTGTCTTATGCTACAACAAAAGCTTAGTCACTTGAACAGTCATAAGTTTGACCACTGCTAAGTTTAATATATTATTATTATATTTTCTGTGTCTGGCTTCTGCTTGTCCTCTACTGCAGACATGTTGATTCTCGTGATTTTCTATGACTTGCTTGTTGCATGCACAATTTTGTTATATACTCGTAATCATATACATACGAGAGGGTGAAAGCTGTGTGAAAATCACAGACTGGCATGCACCTTAGAAAATTTCCAGGGGTGCAGAGAATTTTGCAGGCCCTGCAATTTTAAGAGGTGCTAATTCCCGGGTGGAGCAATCATAAGTCATTACTGATCTGATTAGTGTCTTGTGGAAGGTAGTTTAATGTTGGCGCTTAACGCTTACTTTTGAATAAAGGGTGGACTCTAATAAATGTTCTGAAGGCCTTGTCTTTAATCATTTCTGTGTACAGTCTCCATGTAATTCTCTTATTGAAGATTACACCAAGATATTTTACACGACTGACAAAGGTACTGTTCTTTCCAGTCTATGAGAAAAGTAGGTGGCTTGAGTCTTTGTCTTCATTGATTTTTATGTTCTGGCACTCACACCATGTCTCAGTAGCACCCGCCCATTCTGCGCATCTGAATCAGACTTTCGTCGCCAAACACAACATCCCTGTGGTTCGTCAGGCTCCCTACTCCCCCAACATGGCTCTGTGTGACTTTTGGCTATTTCCCAAGCTGAAAATGCCGTTGAAAGGAACCCGATTTGAGTCAAGAGAAGACATCATGTGGAATGCAACGGCCCGGCTGATCACCATTCCAAAAGGCGCATTCCAGAAGTGTTTCCAACAATGGCAGAAGCACTGGGAGAAGTGTGTGCATTACCAAGGAGACTACTTTGAAGGGGATTAGGGTTTTGTACCTCCAAATCAATAAATGTATTTCTGCCGANATTCCACATTAATGTTACGTTAGTCTGTACTTAACTACGTATTTCACTAAAAAATGCAACATTTTAACTCGGTTTTTTGGTAGATTTTTACGTGACTAACATAAGGCTACTGTGGAAGTGCCCATTTCGGTTACGACATTCGTTTATAACGACACTATTTTTAGGTCCCTTTGATGACGTTATAACCAAGTTCTACTGTATATACACACACACACACACACTATAATATGGGGGGCCAAAATGGAACCTTGTGGCACCCTTGCTAGTATATACCGTGGTGTAGACATCTCTCTTCTCCACTGCTGCTGGCCCTCATTATATAGCCTTGGCACAGACCAAATAGAAGAGATTGTGTCCTGTATTGTTGTGTCACTATCTGTTGCTGTGCCATTATCTAGCAAGGACCACCTCTTCTTGTTCCACTGTTCTGGCTTTAGCCAATATGTTACATTGAAGGATGGTTGGATTGCAGGATATAATATCATTCAGATGTTACTGAAAGTAGGGTTGAGTGCTTTTACAACATAAATATTTCCACCTTTGTTTCAATTTTACATACACCAACAGCAGCAGCACTGGATGTCTTCACAAATTTCTTGCCACTTAGTAAGTACTACAGTTATGAAGTAAAATTTTAAATAACACAGGCAGCTCAATTTTTTGCACACATGCACGAAAACAAGCAGACCACCTCTATGCCATACAAAATTTCAGGTTTACATGGTGGATACTTTTGGTCTTTTGGCTTACGACATTATGTAGCCAGGTAGGTGGTTACCACAGTCTAGAGGAACCTCCCGTTTCCCTTTTTGGAGTAAGTGCTTGCTTCTATCCTGAAATTGAGGCATCAGGTTCCTCTAGACTACTGCTAACCATGTACCAAACTACATGGTGTCATTACACAAACCAGAATTAGGACAAAATGCAAATTAGCATCCAAGCATATCTGGTTTATATTATTGTACTGATTACATGTTGCCAAAACGCCAGTATGTTCTGGTCACATAAGGCCGTCTTCAAGGGGTTAACCATATTAAATGGAGACTTTACAATTCATACAGGTAAAAAATAAATGATTTAAGCATTTGAGCCTTAAATTTCTTATAAAAGGTTAATATTATGTTAAAATTCATGTATATATGCCATAGGTACTGCATTTCAGTTGTTTACAGCATGTAGGTTGTATGATGCTGTGTCATACTTGTTCTTCAGGTGTAGAAGTGGAGCTTTGCTATTTTGATGTGGTTCTTGGTAGGTGTTCAACACTTCACCTACCAAGAACTTGTCTCTTTAGATAATACAAAGGGGAAGCCCTTTGATGTTGTTTGTAGTTGAACTGCTGAATGCCCAATAACTGCAGAGCTGATGAGTATGGTTATACTAGCAGTGCAGTAAATCATGATAGGACTGTGATCACCAGAAACATAAGATTATTTACCATCATCATGAGAGTTATGAGAAAAATAAGGGTTTGCCTTCACTATATGGGCAGCACACTTGACACTTCTCTTTATGTCCGATCCCTCTTCTCTTCAGAGAGAAGATTTCAAAGTGGGAAGAACACATGCATGTGTGGAGGCGGGGTCGAATACCGATGTGGGAACTGCCCACATTCAAGCAAGTGTGACAACGTGAGCTTCACTGCTTAGCAACGACGAGTAAACAGGTTGCTAGGCAAAGCCTACAACAATACGGACAGTGACATGTTTTCTATATGTCCGACTCTAGGTTACATAAGGAGATACATTGAGTGGAAGTTACAGTTACAGTTCTACAATTCTAGTTCAGTGAGTTCACTATTGTTATTATTCTTCAATTCTTCAAACTCAGGTTCGTCTGTGTATACTGTGCAACTGTAATAATACTATAGGACAGTTCAACTAGTGGTTGTCTCTGCGAGTTGTAAGAGGCGACGGAAAGGGAAGTCTCAAATCTGAGACAGTAAAATATGGTCTAGAGTCCCAAGGGACTCAGACCCGAGAAAGACTGCACTGGCAAGGGCCAGCAGCATATACAAAAGGCAGACCCGTCCTCTTGTCAGAGAGGGCGCCCCACAAAAACAAGACCGTAAATGCCAAACAGTAACAAATATCTAGTCATGAGCCCAGCCGCGGCTCGACACCAAGACTTACTGACTGACTTACCGTCAGTGACAATGTGACTTGGACTTGGACTGGAGTGGGAAGAACACACGTCTTGCTGTATGTCAGGAGCGCAACTAGGGTTGGTAACTATGGACTGGCTGAGGAAACTGGTTGCAATATGACAGCGCTATGCTTCAAGTTCACTTAAAATTCACTTATATACCATAGCTTCATAGTATCCATTGTGGTTTAAATTTAAATTTTAACAACTGTAATGCCTGACCCAATCAACAGAATTGGAAAAATGCTACTGGCCCACACTGGGTTTATAGTACACACTGTTCTATAACGTGTTCCATTTACCAGCTCTAAAAAAATATAATCACAATTTTGGAGTTAATTTTCCCATTGAACAAGAACTGATGTATGCAAAATGAAACTCATGCTTGTGGCTGTAGATCCTGCAAAATATTGGTAACCATTGACTAAACACATTGTGATAAGCCTTAAGACGAAACTCAATATCGTCATCAATATTGACCATACTGACTGATATTGACTGCCATGAGCGGCTATGGGAGCCGTAAATCTCGTTTATGACCACCTGAGCTACGGAACCTATCGATGGTGCACTATACTCTGTAAGAAAATAGATGACAGCACAGCATCTGATACGCCAATGGTTTCTGGTCGAATAGAAACGAGTCCGTAATGGATTATTGTGAAAGAATGATATGGATTTCGAAATTCTGCGATATGCGTGAAAATATATAGGACGAATAGTAAGTTCCAGTACACTCCAGTGTCTAGCCACTTAGTCTCAAAATTTTATTAGATAGCGGCACAGAACCCATGTCCTGATAAATAACAAAACTTACATACGAGCTGTGTTAATTACATATAGTGTTCTGACAATTAACGTTCTTATATACGAGATTGCAAGTGGTACTAACCGATAGGAACTAGGAACGCTAGGAACTACCGTGAATGCTACCGGATGCTACGTTCAACACCTAAAACGCGAAGAGCACTGCACAGGAAAACAGGAAACGCAATTTTGTCATTGTTCAATTAGACTCTCTGTGGTGGCGTGTACATTCATAGCTTTTCGACAAAACTAATGGATAATTGTTGATCACATTTCAAAATTAATTTTGAAAAGAAGTTAATATAAACAATGAATTTCATCAGTTACCATTATTTTCACAGTTTGTATCAGTATGTATACAAATCTAACAAAAGACGGAGCTGTACGACATTTGACCGAATAGAGTAACCTGCCGTGGTTGCTCGAGTAACAGAAGCAGCTGGTTTACAGCCGTCAGTTTGTGTTTGCCTTTTCGTTAATTTATGCTTCCAAGGAATTATATGTTTAGAACAGTGTAAAAAACGTTCAGACTCTATAATTGTAGATGTCATCATTGGCCTAAACCAAATTTTCTTGACGTGTTCCTGGTGAATTTATACATCAATGAGTCTGGAGATATTGTGCTGCTGCTAAGCAACTCGTGCGAAGGGCTGAGGCCACATTTTTTATATATAGTTGTTGGTATGTTTGGTGCTAGATGCAAGCATTACAGTTACATAGACATTGTTTTACTGCGAAACAGTAATATGCTGTGTTGTTACAGGCTTCATAATTTATTTGTTTCTGTGTTCAGTTAAACTTTTGTTTCATGTTGTTTGAATGGAAGAATGACATGTAATTTTGTAGAAAGCCGGGACCTAGCTGTTTAACCATATTTATTTGAAGTGGCCCGGTTATCTGTTTAAATAATTTCTACCAAATTTATTCCGTTTCATAGAGATCTGAAAGAAACTTACCCATAGGACGTCAGATTCAAGACAGTGGTACTTGAAATTCACAAATAATAATAATTCTAAAGGGCAAATATAAATCACTCTGTCCAATGTGACCTGTAAGTTTTTTACTACATGAAAACCTAACACCCTTACATGTTTCGGTCTCTGTGGACCATCTTCAGAGGGCAAACATCACTACAAATAGGAAACCACCATCACATAAGTTGTTTAGACGTAAAGTACGTACACTTATATTTATATTATATTATATTTGTAATTGTTAGTGTGACGGACCAGAATGAAACAAATCAAATTCTAAAGGGTTCTGACAATCGTATATGACACTCAGAATTACTGGGTTTTTGGAGTAGGAGGCACCTCCTTTGTTGGGTCCCTTAAAAAGAGTGAACCTCAGTCAATGGAAAACCCATGTCAGAGTCAGAGACACTTTATGACTTGGGGTTTACTGCCAGTCAGTTCACCTAGGCAACAAGCCCCTTGAGACTCATGACCAGTAATTTTTTTTAACCGAACTTTTTCAGTTGTTGTGCTTTGTAACATCCTCTCTGAAGAGAGGATGGGTCTTGTTTACAATTGCTGCTGGCCCACATCATCGCAGTCTTTCTCAGATCCGAGTCCCATGGGACTCATGACCACATTTTACTGCCTCAGATTCGAGACTCCCCAAACCTGGATGGCCAGGTCCCGCTATTTATGTTCTGCAAGTACGGGATGGCCCAGTAATACCCCTAGGCACTGCATTCCTTCTTTCTAAGGGACCCAACAGAGTAGGTGTCCTCCCACTTACCTGAGGATGGAAACATCCAGTTTTCGAATCATTGTGTTGCTTTCTGACAGGTAATAATGTTTCGATTCTGTATGATGGTCCACACAGGTATATGGAAATGTGTGTGATAGCCTGTTAAACCTAAGAATACGAATGATTTCTGACTTTGTAAATCAAAATGATAAGTAGTGTACCTAAACAGTGTCTGGTGAAGATGTTGCGTGTGGGGTAGTACTCTGAAGAAGAGTACAGGGTGAAGTGGTATCAGTGTGGATTGAATCTGTTGTTATCAGCTGCTTGCTCATTACATCCTATTATCCCAGCTTCAAGCATTAATTTTTACTTACGCTGTCCTGTTATTGTTTTTATTGTGGAAGTAACTAGACAAAATTGTATTAGAAGTTGGAGGTGATTTACCTAAATTTCTGTATACAGAATATCTCTTTAGGGGTTTTCTTTCCTCCACCACCAAGGTTTTATGAAAATCCATACAAACTATGGTGTTTGTTCCTCCCCCATTACCACTTCTCACATTTATTTATATTCTTCAAAATGGAGAATTTGTCATATTAATATACAAGATCTGACAATGAATTAACCAGATTGATTTTGTAAAAGAAAGGTGTGTGTTGTCACTGACCTTTATTGATTGTAATTATCTTCTCAGTCATTCCATTCTGACTTTATACACATGTTCCAACACCTGTGCCCAGCCTGGAAATGCAGTTGGGGATCATTGTCTAAACATCCTTCTAGTACTGTGAGGACTGTCTTCCAAAGATAATGTGAATTAATTTTCTTTTGTAGCATGTAGAAGGCACACAGCACAGAATCAGGTGAATGTGGAGGATGTTCCAATATAAATACTTGTTTCTTGGGCAAAAATCATTCTACCCGAAATGGAAAGGCACTGTTCTTTTGCAAAATCCATCTTTATATCCAAGATTTGATATTTTTGTATGAATGCACTGCTGTAAACATTCCAAAATTTTGAAGTTGTAATCTGTCCATGTATTTATCATACATCAATATTGCAACTTTTATTTATTGACTACTTAATTTTTAATTTTAGCAGTGAATAAACAAGTGTTGCAATATTGACAGACCATAAATACATTACGTTAAGTTAAACAGTTGCAACAGAATGCTGAAATACAAAATTTAAATGTGTGTTAGATTGTTTCTTTTTGAGAAACAGCTGTATAATGGATATTTAATTGGCGCAAAAAAAAAGTTCAGCCCCCCCCCTTCCTGTAATGTCTTCTCATCTGTCCTGAAATCCTTTAACTCACCCAGAATTTTTTTTCTACATATTGCTCCTTCTCCATAAACTTTTAACATTTTGCAAATGTCAGGCATTTTCTATTTATTTACTATACATGTGTTCATTTTCTATTCTAACAGTCTATTACCTCTGTTTTTGACAAACTACATGCAGTAATAAAACATAGACATCAGCTCCAAAACAGACTGAATCCTTGTGACTATATAGACATGTGATTCAGCCTGCACCATCCCACCTACTGCTTGCTTCACAGAAGCATCAATCTAGTTTTAAATTGTTAGATCCTGTATACTACTAAAAGCATAATTTAGGTGGGGTGTGTTCACATGCAGATTTTAAGTAGTATGTGTGTTTACCATGTGGACATGTATATATGTGAAATGGAATCCAAGTCAGTTTTTACATAAGTGATAGTATGCAGTATTGTGATGTGAGTTCTGGTATTCATTTGTAGGTTGTTTGTTGGGGAGGAGGGAATGCTGGACCACAAAACTCTACCTATTTGTTGAATGTTTCCGTCGGGAATAGGTTGCAACCTCCCATTCCCAAGTTGCCTGGGTTTCCCCATTGAAACAGAAGAACTCATCCCCAAGATGGCAAGAGAACCAGTTATACTCAATGTTTATGATATGGTGAGAAGTCTTTATTATTAATTTAGTATGTAAGCTGTTAAGTGTTTCAAGAAAAGTACCAAGATCTTAAATAAACTGTAAATATTTAAACTTTAGGATAATATAATTACATTCATAGTCCATACTTACAGTTTCTTCGATAGCATTTTGAAACTAGTAAGTTTAATGTGTAAAGTAAAGCTGTTATGTATCTAAGCACTGTGTCATGAAAGCTGATAGGGTGCATTTAGGTTGAACCCCATGGCAGATTACACAGTTTCAAGAAATTTCTAGTGAATTACTTCAAGACTGATAAAGATGGTTAATATCTTGACAAGCTGAAGTATGTAGTTAATGAAGAAGGTGATATTTATGATGAAATTGTTGACTGTAAAATCAGAATATGCATGTAATGCTTAAATTCAGAGAAGTTTATTCTTTATAAAGATTAGAGGTGTAGGGACTCTTGTAGAGATGCATTTAGGCATTGGGGAATTTTGCCATTGCAGTCCCAATATATATTTTCTTTATTGATGTTTGTTGTGGATAATATGGGTTTATATCACATGACTTCACAAATTCATGGCCTTAATACTAGGCATAGTTTTGATCTTTATTGCCCTCATACAAATTGGCAACTTACCAGAGAGGGCCTTATTATTTTGGTATTAAACGTTTTAATCATCTTCCTTTAAATATAAAAGAGTTAATTCATAATATTAAGCAGTTTAGAGCAGCTTTAAGTGCCTTTTTACATACAAAATCCTATTACACTTTAGCTGAATATTTTAATTAAGGATAGTTTCTTGTTTAGCTGTGACCCATTATTTGGTCTATTGTCATGTATATGTTCTAATTTTGTATTATATCTTATATACATATGGTAGGTTATGTAGTTGCAATGATATGTAGGGGTTTCATATGCTCAATTTATTGTTGTGGATTTATATGCCTTGTCCTGTTGACTGCTTGCTAATTTAGCAAGCTTGTGGTGTGACAGGTTGTGTATCCAATGGCTTTGGCCTTGTATGGATGTGCTGGAACGTGTAATAAATACAGTACAGCTTTACCTGTCATATGTGGACAGACAGTTATTTGTCACACCCAGTGGAATTCACACTTTTTGAAAAAACAACACTGAGATGCATATTTTAACCTAAAAGAGAGCTTTATGTTAAGCATACTGTCTTCTGTGATGCTGTGAAATTTAATTTAGTAGAGGGGTACCGACGATGGAGGCAGCACATTCCTGTGAAACTTTGGTGTGTAATTACAAAATGGTGCAATGTCATGTCCCAGAAGACCAAAATCCTAACATTCACTGCTCTATGATCTTCAGATTTCATGCAAGAATTTCACGGTTTTGTACATTTTATTTCATATTTATAAAACTTATAATAAAAATTGAAGTAGAAAAATGTGTAGTGTGTGTGTGTATGTGTGAGGAACAAACAGTGTATCCAATTTTCTTTGTATAGTTATGAAGGTAGTGTTAAGATCTACCATGTCGAAGTGTTTTGCGAGGAGGCTTCTTTAATTATACTGGCATAGAATGAGAGTGACTTCCAAACTGTTTTGATGATAATTTTGTTCTCACTGGCTTTGGGATATCCTTTTATAATATATCAGTTGTTAATTTTACCCCATGTTGACTTGTCGATTTTGTATTTAAATTTTAGACAGGTGCAAATGGCCTGTATGAACCCTCTCCCCCTTTTGAGCCTCACATATTTACAGCATATGTTAATTTTTCCCCAGGTTAAGATATGAATGTTGAAGTTTAATTTGATACAGACAAAGATAGCCATAAATGGTGTTATGCTTTTAAATTGAAATGCACCTTCACACACGTGTGTGCATTCACTCACAAACACTCAGTGTTGACAGGTAACATGTTCAAAAAGAGCCTAAAGTGTGGGCATCTATTCTGCAGGACATCCCAGACTTTTTTATATATAACAAATAGACACAGTTAGTGATTATACTATAACATGCAATGCTCTTTTCCAGTATTGGATTAATGAGTATACAACGTCACTTGGACTGGGAGTCTTCCATTCTGGAGTGGAAATCTATGGCACGGGTAAGGATAGTACCATATGTGTATTTTCAGACTTTCTGTGGAATGTTCTCCAGCAGTCATACTCATTGTTGTTATCTGTGTATTATAGATTAGGTCATCTGAATGATAGAGACAAGTAAAATACACTTCAGTATTTTGGCTTTGGCGTGAACTTTGTTTTATTTTCAGAGTATGCCTATGGTGGCCACCCATTTCCATTTTCTGGTATATTTGAAATAAATCCAAGAGATGCCGAGGAACTTGGAGAACAATTTCAATTCAGGTATAATTTATTTTTTTGTTGTATACTTGTCAATTTATTCTCATGCCCTGGTGAGGTAATTAAATATTCCAATGGACTAGCTTAAATGGGAGAAACATACATGAATATAGAATTTTGGTGGGGATAGCTCTTGGAAGATGAAGCTGGAGGTTTTGAATTTGAATTTATGGAAATGCATTTTGTAATGTGGGTCAGATTGAACTAAGAATCATGTCCATTATCAAGTTTTTATTAGTAATGTTGAACATTTGAATTGTAATTGGTCGAACCGATGTGTCATGGACCATCTCTGCACCCATCATCAGGGTCTAATGAAACAAAATTCAAACTGCCCCCTCTGTGTACCAACCCGTGGCCTGTGATTGTAACAGAGCATGGGCCAGTGTATTGCTAGGGGACAGAGTCATGTTTATTTTCCTTGGTTCTGTCTCCAGATTAGTTCATCTCAGTACTGCTTTCTTCAACAGAGATGGGAGTTTCAATGTTAGTTGGTCCTGTCACCCAGTGACTAATATGATAAAACAGTAGCATATTCCTATTGAATTGGTTTCTTTTATCACCAGCTAAACCTGTGATCTGCCACTTTTTGGCCGTCTTTGAAAAATCCAGCTTTGTGGAAACTTATTTTTGTGGATAATTATGAACCTTAAAATGTAACATATGTAAGTTTTTGGTCTTATGGAAAGTTGTCCTTGTGCTGAATTGAGCACCATGTCATGGAGGTATATACAGAATTGGCGATACAACTCCATATACCTATACTTAGAACATACTTAACCTTACATTAAATGGAGGTGAATAGTCAGCTTGATGCTGTGGTGAAGAAACTCCCAGTATCCTCTGGATAAGAGGTTGGATGGGTCACAGAGCTGGTGTGGACCCTGCCAGGATTTGAGCCTAGATTCATTGGTTGTGCAGCCCATAGCATAATTATGAAAACATGCTGGCGAATTGTATGCCTAATTATAAGAACAATGGAATTTAGGACTGAAGACAAAAAATCTGAACGAGCACAACCTGTAATCTCTACTTAACCAGTTAGAACCCTTGTTGACTGTGAAGGATTCATTGTCATACTGGAGAGTTATACGTTGATTGTCAGCCAAAATACCACTGTAGCCTTGGTGTTGGTACATTTCTTTCTTGTTTGAAATCTCTATAGTGTATAATGTTTTGCAGTTTTCACAGTGTATATTAAAAGTGTATTAATTGAAGACATTGTGTAATGCTTTTTTATGAAGTATGCCAAATATAGTGAATGGAGCTGTGTTATAATCCTTCTCATCCTTCAAATTCATAATTTATTTCTCATTAAATTTTAATGCATATTTTACTGATGTTGCAGGCAATCTGTCCATGTTGGACACACAGATTTTACTGAAGATGATGTCAAGAGAATAGTTGCAGAGCTTGGGAAAGATTTTCGTGGTGACCGTTACCATCTTATGAACAAGAACTGTAATCACTTCTCGGGCTCTTTTACGCAGGTAACGTTAGTACTCGCGATTTTTCATCTTATGGCAGTGAGTAAATAAATGAAACAAAAAGACTGAAGTTGAAGCTCTATATAGGACAACTTAGAAGACACAGATTTGTGTACAGTGTTACATAAGATTTTTTCTGAGTTGTGAGCCTATCTAAAGATTTTCACCTAGACACTATTCTCTGTTGTATGGAGGGTATCTGGAAGCGAATGCTGAACATTTTCAGTGGTAGTGCTACACATTCAGAGAAAACACATGTCATGTTGTGGTCTTTTGGGTTTATGACACCATATAGTCTGGTAGGTGGGTACCATGTTAGAATCTTTACTATGAATGTTATGTTGTTGCTAAACCAGGACATATATATGTAAATGATGCTAAACAGTATATCACTGGGGGAAAAAAGAAGATGAATGTAAGAAATTTGTATTTTAACAAGTCTTTTTTGGAACATGTATTGAATTGGTACAGGGTCTATAAAAATAGGCATGTATGCCCATATCATGCCATGAACTTCAACGTAAGGTGAAAATAGTGTCTGTCACCTAATGATTGTACTGCAAGTTTTTTTTTTTTAATTATTTGTTGTTTTTTTGTATGAAACTTAAAAAATGAAAATTTTATCTTTGATCACTTCAAAATTTCAGAACTGTATGAGGGGCGTTCAAGTTATAAGGTCTCCGATTTTTTTTCTCAGGACTGGGAGCAGATAGACACATGCAGTTTAGTTTAAAATACATGTGCACTCTTTGTGAATGTGTGACAGAGATGGCAGCACTGTACGGCACACAGATTTCTAGTGGTGTAGCGAGAGTGAGGAGTGTTCTTGATACCTAAAATGGCGACATTTTCATCACAAGAACAGCAAGTAATCATTTATTTTCTCCACTTGCATGGTGTGACACCCATTGAAATTCATCACCAGTTGAGTGAGACATGTGGTGATGGTGTCATGAATGTGAAAAATGTGCGTTCGTGGGTGCGACAGTTCAAAGAAGGCCGAACGTCATGTGACAACGAACCGAAAACAATCTTGGCCCCGCACCAGCTGGTCTGACAACATGGTCGAGCGAGTTGAGAAAGTTGTTTTGGAGGATCGCTGATTGAGTGTGGAAAACATTGCCTTCAAAGTTGGCATTTCCATGGGATCTGTGCACACAATCCTGCATGAAGACCTGAGAATGCGGAAAGTGTCCTCCAGGTGGGTGCCACGAATGCTGGAGGACAACCACAAGGCTGCGAGCATGGCAATTTGCCAGGCGATGTTGACACGTGATGAAGGCATGAATGGGATTTCTTTTCATCAATTGTGACAATGGATGAGACATGGATGCCGTTTTTCAATCCTGAAATGAAGCGCCGGTCAGGTCAATGGAAGCACACAGACTCACTGCCACCAAAAAAATTTTGGGTAAGTGGCAGTGCTGAAAAAATGATGGTGGCCATGCTTTGGGACAGCGATGGCATAATCCTTACTCATTGCATTCCAAAGGGCACTACGGTGACAGGTGCATCCTACCAAGATGTTTTTAAGAACAAGCTCCTTCCAGCACTGCAAGAAAAATGGCTGGAAAAGGCTGAACATATGCTCTTTCACCAGGACAATGCACCAGAGCATTGGGTGTATGCAACGCAGCAATTTCTTTGTGAAAACAACCTTGAAGTGGTTTCTCATGCTCCCTACTCGCCTGGCCTGGCTCCTAGTGATTTTTGGCTTTTCCCAACGATGAAAGACACTCTCCATGGTCACACATTCACCAGTCGTGCCGCTATTGCATCAGCAATTTTTCAGTGGTCAAAACAGACTCCTACGGAAGCGTTCGCAGCGGCCATGCAATCATGGCGTCGATGCTGTGAAAAATGTGTACAACTGCAGGGAGATTACGTTGAAAAGTGACAGAAGTTTCAAATTTTTTGTATGATTATTGTGTGAGAAAAAAAAATTGGAGACCTTAGAACTTGAACACACAACGTACTAACAAAAATGTGAATAAGATATGTTTTTACCCTTAGTACAGAACACATCAATGTGATATGAGTTGTACTGGCCAGCAGATATTTAAAACTTTAACTAGGACTTTTGGGAAATGTTTTTATGTTCTTGAAACTTAGGAAATTGAAGCTGCCTGGGGATTCCATAATTTCCTTCATTTCCTATTCCATATCAAGGTATAGAATGCTTAGTTCTTGTCATCAATCATGCCTTTTTCATATAAAGCTTAAAAAATAATCTCTTCCTGCTAAAAGTATTACAAGACAGATTTTTTCTTTTAATTGACTCATCCACTTATCATTTAAAGTCAGTTGGTCAGCCTCTCTAAGCATGGTACTGATAACAGTGGATGCATTTGTATTATTTTGGTGTCAGTGTCTTGATTATTGAGAGGTAGAATCTTAATGCACATCTAGTAAGGAAGCAAGATATGAAGGAAAATGCACTCAGCATTTCACATTTAATTATGTATTTTGCTATTAAATATTTGCCCATCTTTAAAACTATGTGTTTTGAAGATTATTGAATGGTCCTTATTATGCTATGTTGTGTTGGAAAATGTTGAAACTTAGATCAGAATTGCTGGAATATCTAGAAGTTCCTACCTAATCATAGCAATTCACCTTTAGGTTGACAGCCAATATTATTTTATGATCAAATTGTTATAACTTAATGGTCATTAAACTACTACTGTTAGAATGGTTGCAGTGTATAACAAGTCTCTTTAGTTTCTCTCATGTTTAAAATTTGGAAATATTATTGCATCAGAGTTGTTGATACTGACTTTTTAACATGCACATACAATTATAATTTATTCTTTTGTTCATGTGGACATTTGTTTTTGATGGTGGTAAGCTTTAATAGTCTTGAATGTGAAATGAAAATGTAGGGATGGGTTACAAGTGCATTTGTAAATAACGATAACGTCAAAGTGTATTGTCTTTTTCTAATTTTATGAAAATATATTCTCGTTGTTCTGATACTTCTGTCACCAGTAACAGGTTTTTATAAAATACCAAACCAAAGGATGAGGATACATAGGTGAACCTCAAGAAAGATGGAAATATTCTGTTTTGTAATACCTAGAATGATCAAAATTATAGTACATAACTTTCTTCTCCCTCCATGTTGTGGTCTGCTGTAAGAATGAGAAGGTTTAACAAATGTCCTGACTTGAATTAGAGAATGAAACATGTTAAGACCACATTATCTTCAGATCCATCTCAATTGGGATTTTTTTTTGTCAAAAAAGCGTGAAGAAATGTATTATGAAAGAATAATATGTCATATTAGTCCAGTTCATTATCAACCTAAAACTGGAAATATGAAATTACTCATGACATAAACCATCATGTGATTTAACTATTAAAACTACAGGCAGATGGACATGATCTCTCATGGAGATCATTTATGATACACAGAAAATTTAACATGTGACACACATGTAAGAATTAAATGTTCATGAAATTTTTCAATAGCTGCCATATGACACTCCACTTTGTGTGCTCATATATGGATATGTAAGGAAGATATCAGCAGAGATTTCTTTTGGCATATGCATTCAGTGCATAGAGAGCATGAAAGGCAACAGAATCACTTAGTATGGCTTATATTATTTTCAGAACTCATTGGACTAGCATGCTCCAACTTGCTGCATTAGCAGATACAGAGTTTTATGTATGATTGGACAAGATATTCTCACAAACTGATAGCATTATAACAGGAACAGTCTGCAGCTTAAAAATGCGTTAGACATTTCAGAGAGAGCTGACAGTCGCATGAAGATCTATAGAAGGGAGGACCACATAATGAGCAGACAGCAGACAGAGGTCATCTGAGAGGACTGTAACAAATGACTACTGAAATCAATGAAATCATCCAATGCTTTAACAGTACATGTTGGCCATTCTGTGTGCTGACCTTCATATGCATCATATGAAACCTCAAAGGATTAGTGTGAAGAATGATCTCTCACTAGCACAGACATTATAACAAGAGTTGACAGTAATCCAGACATTCTGAACAGGGTTATCACAGGGTGATTAAACATGATGTTCCCTTTTTGAATCACAGTGCAAAAGTTGAGCCTCATACATGAATCATCCTCATCACCCATAAAGCAAACATTTTGTGTGGATTGATCAGGGGGGAAGCTGATGTGGGAAATGTTCTGTGATGCCCAGTTCTCTATCGCAGTTAAATTCTGTGCAAGTGGAACATCAACAAGATTAACTGTGAATAGGCATGATTTGCTGTCTGTGAGAGGTGAGCTCAGGACCAAGTCCAGTGACAGGTGCTGAACTTTCAGGTTCTTTTGTCGGTTACTGGATAATATTTTATAGGAAGCTATGACTTGTTTCTTCACAGTTCTGTATCTGCTTTAATTCTGATCAAATTGTCCTTATTTTCTCTGATATGGCACCGAGAAGTAGATTGGTTGTTTCTTTCCCAGTTGTCACCATCAGTCCATAATTGCTGTTTTAATATGACTTTTGCAAGGAAATTACGGGTTATAGTGAGGAATCACTATAATTTTATGTTTTATCCCATATTATTTGCTTTGCAATTTTACCTACAGATACTGTGTGGCCAAGAGATCCCATCGTGGGTTAATCGGCTAGCATACTTCAGCTCATGTGTTCCATTTCTTCAGCGCTGTTTGCCCAGAGAATGGTTAACACCAATGGCTCTGCAGCACTCCCTCAATTCACATCAAGAGAATTCCCCAGATACGTCATTGTAACATCAAGCTCCTGCCACTAGGCTCTAATATCCGTCAGTTCTTTTATTATGAATGGAGAGCTAAAACCGTCACAAAACTGTTTTTTTAATTTGTTCTGTTTCTTAATGTTATTTAATTACCCAGTAAAGTCACTGCAAGATATATTGGTGAAATATGTTTGAAGATTCATTTTAAGCAAGAATATTAATTAACATGGGGCTACAAAATGTCATAGGAATGTCTGTTGGTGCTGACATGTTAGCATGTTTATATTAAAATATGTTCTGGAGGCCTGATTGTTTGTTTGTTTTGTATGCTGCAGTTTAACAGGGTGTTAGATGCACTTACAGTATTTGTGTTTCCTGTAAGATACAGCATTCATATAAAATACAGGTTTTGGTTTTAGACTTTTAATTTTTGAATGTTATTATTTTCGTAAAATTTTGATAATTTTATTTTCTCAGATGTATTCAGCAAAAATAAAATTCAGTTAGGTGCATTTAGGCCAAAGTATGTAACAGGGCCACTTTAATCTTGCCATTTATAATTGAAAACCTTAATTCCTAGTAGACTGCCACTGGAAAACTTTCTGCATGTGCATTGTTCTAGTAAATTGATAGTTTATATTAATACCTGATGTAGGATAGAAACTGTTTAAATTTGAGGTCAACTCAGTTTACATTTCTGAGCCATGCAAAGTTTTCTGAGCTTTCCCAGAAAGTTACTTAAGAATGCATGATAATCCTAAGTCATTACCATGTAGATAATGAATTTATTTAACTGCACAGCAGCACGTATTAAACAATAGGCTTGCTGTGACTGTTGATCATAGAGTTTGCAAGTGGTAGAAGAGAAGTGTTTAATGTGAATTCCAGTGCACAGATTGAAAGATAATGAAGGCAACTGTTTTTATAATAAAAATTGTGAAAATTTATGAATTACTCAGTCTGTTATGTGTTCTTTTTTTTTAATAATATTTATTATGAAGAAACCTCTTATTTTGTGTGAAGAAGTGAAAGATAATGAAGAATATGCAGTGAGAGTATATGTGTAAAATGTACGTTATACCTAGAACAAATTGTGGTGTCTTGTTTTTCTATGCAACTGTTAGAGGTTGCCCAAAGAGAATTTAAAACTGTTTTAGCAAATCAAAGAAATTAATATTTTTCTGATAAATGCCCATAATCTGTTTTGAGCTACCAGTATAGATTATAAATATTTGTAGTTGGTGTATATACCATTTAAATATGGGTTGTATCATTGTTGACATATTTCAGAGGAAAATATGCATTTAAATATATATGTATTACAGGACGAAACATGACAGGTGGTTTAAAACCAGAAGATTACTGGAAAGAATGGCCATAGAAATGATGTAATGATTAGTGTCACTGTGTATGATGTGTGAATTCAGTTGCTAAATAGCAGGAATTTTACTTGGTAATGGTTAACTCAAAATTTAAATTTCTGACTGAGTGTTTTGGAGTAGATTTTGGTTATTAGACCTGGAAATGTCTGCTTTGTTACTAATTGAGCAGCAGATAAAGGAGCAAAAAACTGAATTTCTATTTGATGTTGTTCAGCTGCAAAGTTATTTCTTTTCAGTAGTCTTGTTTGGCTTTGATTACCTTCAAAGGGGATTTATTGTCTGGTATGCACAATATATATGGTGCAGTGGATAACTTTTAAAAACTTACTGGAAGTTAGTTACTAAAATTAGTCACAGTTATTTTGATATTGTCTACCATGACTTGTAGGTTAACATCCTATAGCAATGTATGGTGTAAATATGTTATAAGTGAATTCTGACAGTTGGTTAATGCAGGATATCTAGGAAGTTAGGCAATGTCACATACAAGAAATATTTGTAATATTATTCATTTATGGGGCAGTGTATGTCTTCCTTTCTTCCATTGTTTGTAGCATGTATATCCAGGTTTGGTCTCACTTACTGACAGATCTCTGCTCACAAGGCATGGTGAAAGGATGAATATCTGAGATGGAATCATCCATGATATGGGTTCATATACATATATTTATGCTGGGGGAAATCTACAGTTTAATGTGGAGCACAGATCACAATGATGATTCATTAGTCCTCATAAACATCAGTTCTGACTTTGTCAGAAGTGAGGGTTGAGATTGGCAGATGGAAAAATCTGCACCAGCTTCACATAGATTTTGAACCTGAAACCATATGTAGTGTAGAACAGCATCTTACCCATAGACTACCATGTCTTCACTTCCTCCATTTTTTAACTCAACAATGAACGTTCCTAATTTAATACCGATTTTATGCTTTGTTTCCTCCATAATGGTAAATAATTCCAGATATAAGCTACTTTCTAATGAGTACAGAAACTTGTACAGGGACTTGTAAATACCTAGAACTGTAAAAACATATATATATCTCAGTACTGACAACTTTGACTATAGAAGAGAATCAGTGGATTTTTTGGGGAAATTCAAAAGAGTGGTATCAGAGGTTCAAAATTTGCAGTCAACTCAGTTTTAGTTAGTTTTTTAACATCCCAACATCCAAGCATCAGTATTTCACTCTAGATCTGGACAACTTCTTGAGTTTTAGTGATATGTGTTGTATATGCACATTAGACAGAATATGTCTTGGTACCACTGTGTTTAATGTGGTCAGAGTCAGTATGTTCTCACAAAAGAAAACTGAGACAGTACTTGCAGCTATTGAACATTGAGGTTTAATTTATAGATACTTTGTTGAGAGTCAAGCTGGCTGCTTTGATGTAATGCAGGTAATTCAGACATTCAGGTGTCATATCTTAATTATAATACAATTAATGTTATATTTTAGCGTCCTGTTGCACCGATTTAAGTCCATGATTTATTTAATCCGTCTTGCAGTGCATACATTCATTTTTCTCCTTCTCTCCCTCGCACTACATGTTTCGGCATAATAATGCCATCTTCAGGTGCTTACTTATCCACGTCAAACCAGTTCATTGCATGCCATGTTCACACATTAAAATAACTAAAATATGTATCTATCATATACATTGTCCAACGTTAAAAATATTAAAATTGTTCAGGATACCACATCGCTACGTCGCCCCTCACTACGTCAGTCACGCCCATTCTCCTTTGTTGGAGCACTCCTTCACTATCTTGTGTGTTGTGGTTTTGTTGTGTCGTGCTCCTGCGACTGCGTGTGTTATACTGTTGGGCTTCCNACAATTAAATTTAGAGAAAATTACAGTGAAGAATTCTGTTACAAAGGCTCAAGAGGTCAGTGTCTGTTTGTATATGCTTCTGTGGTTCCTCATCTTGGTAGGTCCAATATTTTAATGTCATCAAGTTATTAGAATACATAGGTGAAAGGTAAAGCTGTCCCTATGCTTGACTAATTAAGCACTACACCACGAAGATATATGGGAGCTGGATGTATAGATCCATATCAAGGGAACAGCTAAAATTTATGTCCTATAAGAAAACAGATACAATTTATTCTTCGTTTTGTTATTAGCAGTCATGTTACACATTTTATTGGTACACATAAACACATCCTGTATTTTAGCCCACTATAGCATACAGTTTTCTCGTTACTTCATACGCGTGTTATCCATGCAATAATGTAAAATATTTTATGACATGAACATTTAGCAAGGGATTTAGTGATACATGAATGATTGTGCCATGGGATCCAAAGAATAAGATGAGTTACATGGTGTTGATGTCAAATCAAATCACTTTCTTATCTATAATATAAGAGTTTTAGTAGAGGATGGCTTTTCCCTTTTTGGAGATACCATAATATGATCTCATATTTAAGAGCTGCAGTGAAAGTAAAGCTATCTGGACTGAGTTCTTTTTTGTGTGGATTTTCCTTATTCCCTGCAAGTACAGAACTGCTAGAATTCTTCAAAAGAATCCACAACCACCTCCACAGCCTTCAAATTAATCATTCATAATAATCTTATCACATATAATTTGTTGTTTACATAACCTTAACAGTTGATGCAATGTTATGTGTGCGCGCGTGCATGCGCACACACATCAATCCATGTTGAAGAATTAACTAATAAAATACATTATATGGAAATAGAGAATGAATGATAGGTACCTATTATTTCAAGTAGAGACATGTAGAATGTGTTTGAATATGTTTGAGAACTGTATTGTGATGTCACATATTACAGTGTTCTGAACATGACAGTTAAGGCGATTTTTGATATGCATATCAATCATAGTGCTGCAACATTTATTTTTTATTGCATTCATAATAGGTACACATCTGTTTGAACATGTTACATGAATAGTAAAATAACTGACAATTCCATTCAGAGATAATGCCCCCAAGATAACTTATTAGTTGATGGTAAATGCACAACAATCATATAATTTGTTTAGAGGCTGAATGATTTCTGGTTCCACAATTTCCATTGCAATTTTATGTGATGTTCAGTATTACTACCTTTAGTTATGTGTCACCTTGCAGAGTGTATGTCTACCATATGCACTTCATTTTGTTAAAGGTTAATAACATTTTTATTTTTGAAATAGTTGACTTTTAAATGGTAGAACACTTGTCTTTGAACAGAAAAAGTGAGTTGAATTTTTTGGTTCAGGGAATAGTCTTTTATGTTTTGAAAATGGTTTTGATTAAATTGTTGTTGAGGCTCTAGTTTTGGATCTCTGTTATTGAGCTGAAAAGGGTGCTTGCCCTGATCTGCAGCTTCAACTTATATGATACTTTCAGTCACTGGTGGGCTTTGAAGAGAAGCACAAAGTTAACTAAGGCTGAAGACTGCAGCAAGAAGGTAAATTCCATTTCCTTGTCATGACATGGTCAGGCCACCAGATGCAATTTTATGACAGGGATGAAGACTGTATCGAAGACATGAAATATCTGCTTGGCCCGTCAACATGAAAATGACACAGACTTGGTAACAGAACGCAGTAGATTGGTATTGTTAATCACTCTAATTCTTGACCAGTATGTTAACATAGGTAAGTTGATAGCAACAGTCACTCTTGATTTGAAAATGTCTGATGCTTAATTGCCTGCAGTTTTATTAGTTCAGCTGCATGACATTCTCATTTTTCTATCATATAGAGTTTGCATTGGATAATTGACAGAACAAAATGAAAATTGATTTTTTATTTTTTTGTATGTTCAAGTTGTATACAGTTTTCTGTAATTTAATATTGTTCCATGTGTCTGTGTAAAATTCAGTGATACCACATTGTTTACTTTCCCCATGATGAGATTGACACTGTTTAGTTGCTTATTATTATGTCATCATCATCAGTAATCTGTCAGACGACAGGTCCACAGTCTCTTTCAAAACAATTCCTCCACTTAATGCGATCTAGAGCTTTCTCCTTCAAATGACAGTATCCTCTTCTGTCCCCAAGGTCATCCAGCATCTTCTTACGTCTTCTTCCTCGTCTTCTTG